ACGAAACCCATACCTGGTAAGTGAAAGTACGATTCCCTTGCCTGGCAAGTGCAAGTACAATACCCATACCTGGTAAGTGCACACCAGTGCACATCAATGCCACAAATCAGTGCCCATCTGAGCTGCCCTTCAGTGTCACCTATCAGTGCTGCCAGTCAGTGCCGCCTATCAGTGCCAGTTAGTGCCGCCTAACAGTGCCAGTCAGTGCCGCCTAACAGTGCTATATATCAGTGCTGCATTTCAGTGCCCATCAGTGATGCCTGTCAATGCCCATCAGTGTCACCTACCAGTGCCTCATCAGTGCCACCTATCAGTGTCCATCAGTGCATCTTATAAGTGCCCATCACTACAGCCTCATTAGCGTACATCAGTGAAGGAAAAAATCACTTATTTACAAAATTTTATAACAAAAACTAAAGAAAAAACTTTTTTTTTTCAAAATTTTCAGTGGTTTTTTGGTTTGTTTAAGAAAAAATAAAAACCCAGAGGTGATTAAATACCACCAAAATAAAGCTCTATCTGTCACAAAAAAATGATAAAAATTTCATATGGATACAGTGTTGCATGACCGCGCAATTGTCATTCAAAGTGTGCACAGCGCTGAGAGCTGGAAATTGGCCTGGGCAGGAAGGGGGTATAAGTGCCCTGTAGGCGAGGGGTTAAACTTGTTGCCCATGGGAATGTATTTTGCAGTGTGTTCACATACAATCTTTGAAGAACTCCTATTTCTGTGTTGTGTTCATTGATGACAATATTCCCTCCCAGTCTAAGTCTTGGACAGCAGCTCTCAGCCTTGGAAAATTAGCGCTCTTAAAATTTTGTGTTTTTATTTTCCCGTATGTGCTCGCTGTTTACAGCTAACAAATAAATCATGTTATGGTCACTGCTACCCAGATGTTCTTTTATATGGACATTCGTAATCAGCTCTGCATGGTTTGAGGTTACCAGGTCCAGCAGAGCATCATTCCTAGCTGGGGCCTCTATGAACTGTACCAATAGTCAAGTCAAGCTTTGAAACTTTGCCTGGCCTACAGATACTAATAGGGGTGTGATGCAAGTAACTGGGATATGAGATGGTATCCATTACCACATTGTCAGGGCAGGGGCCGAGGAACGGACAGGCAGGCCTAACAATGTAACGCACTGGCTGACGACAACCACCACCCACAGACCAAAGTCCCTCAGGGCGCGGAGTCTAAGTCCCAGGCTACCCTTCACCAGGGCCCCTGATGGTGGGGATGGACTTGATGCAGCCAGGAACCAGGTCGCGGCCCCCGAGACACCTCAGCTGCGGTAATGGCCACCGCCAATGGCGTGTAGCTGGTGGAAGAGACAAAAGAGTAGTCAGACAAGCCGGGTCAACAACAACAGGACAAAACAGTACAGGACAGCAGACGAGAATCACAGGTCACGAGCCGGTTTCAGCAACAGAAGGTCAGATCAAGGGAGAATACAAAGAATAGTCAAGTCACAAGCCGAATCAGATACCAGGAGAGTCACGAGAGTCAGAACAGAGTAATAGCAACACAAAGACACAAGACACAAGTTCAAAGAGCATGTGCGGGGCCACAGGCTTATATGTCATCAGCCACACCCCTCTGGGGGATGGACACAGAGACCTGAAGGCATAAAAGGATTCCCATCATGCACAGCAGAATCCAAGATGGACGCCAGCACATGGAGTAACATAACCTCAGGGAAAAGGTAGGACCTTGACACACATCTACTATTTCATCATGGACAGCAAGTTGAAGCAAAAATAGCAGACGTGAAATTCTGCATGAAACTGGACAAATCTGCCACAGAGATCGATTCAGCAAGTTTATGGCACATGCGCTTCAAGAGCAGAAGACAAGAGATCTAGAAGACCTTCAACAAGCTCTCAATCCACAATAATGTTGAATTGTTTAAACCCTTTTTAAAGAGCCCAGAGCCCTCAACCTGCTACAGTTCACTTTACAGCACAAAAGGAAAAAAACAGTCAGTGTACAGCATGAATCTGGAACAAAACCCCCCCCCCATCCTGGACACACCCATAGTTCTTCCTGGCTTCCTGTCACATACACCCCCCCTTCCCGTTTCAAACTTGGTGTTGGAACAAACACAGGTTGGCAAGCATGCGTACACTCGGGACAGGGCATCTGCATTCCCCAAACACCGGGGCGGTGTTTTATGATAAAACTGATTTCTTGAAGGGCCAGGAACCACCTATTCACCCTCCTATTGGTCTTTGGTTTGTGCCATCCACTTTATTGGAGCATGATCTGTTACCAGTTCAAACTGTCTACCCAAGACATAGTACCGGAGAGAATCTAAAGTCCACTTTATTGCTAAGCATTCCTTTCTCAATGGTGGCATAATTTTCTTCATGGGGCTTTAATTTCGGGCTCAGGTAAGTATTAGAGGGCTGAGGGGGGAACTGCACACTGAAGCTTTGTTACCTTTATGCATAGAAAAACTTTCAGCCTTTGGAACCACTTTAAACATTTAAGCAGGTTGCAATACAGCTAGCTAGGTGATGTCCCAGGATGGGAGGATTAGGGTTGACCTGAGTTCCCGGGTTTTCCGCTTGGCGGGCTTCTTGGGTCAGACCCACTGATCTGAGGCTCTTGCTGTGAATCCTGGGCCTGAAAGAGAATGACATTACACCTCTCTGTTATCTTGGAACCCAATGTAATGTAGGAAGCCACTGGGGCCCGGGGTTCACACCGAAGACACCAGTTGCTGGACTCTGCAGATCCTAATGGACTTACCACTAATGGACTCTACATTTTGTAGGTATGCCAGGACAGCACACAAGCCTGAGTTAGGGTTTAGGGACATAGAAAAAAGGACTGTTCTCACATGTTGGACTCTAATGTTTCTGGCACTTTTCTGAGTAAAGCCAGCCTTCTGCTCGGTCCGAAGTTCTTAAATAAGTGCAACGCTAGTAACCGACACATTGTACACTTCGCTTAAAACTTTGGGTCACTAGGCACATTGGGGTATGAAGACAGAACTTACAGAGTCATCCTAGTGCCGTACAGCAAGTGGTTACTGAGGGTAATGGAAGCCAGCAATCAGTCAAGCATCCTATAAGCGTGTGCCTGTGTCAGGTGGGACAACCTTTAGCAGCAAGGGAGGTGTTGGAAGCACTCCTTCCAAAGCTGTCTGTTTCCCATAACAATGGGAGTGGCTCGGCACCCCTGAGGTTCCCAGCTAGTGCAGAGGTAGAGAAGTCAAGAGTCAAGTCAAGTGCATGCATGGAGCCCACACTAGGTGCACGGGGGGGTTCCATTCTGCTACTGGGAGGGAGGTAGTGGAGAACGCTGGCAGGTGGAGGAGGACACAGACTCAGCGTATCTCTTATAATTGCAAGTGGATAGTGAAGGTGTGTATTTGTACGGGTACCCAAGAGTTACCTGAAGGACAGTTATTGTGCAAGTGTACGCGATGTGTGTTCATCTCTAAGAGTGGATATATACAGTTGCAAGAAAAAGTATGTGAACCCCTTGGGATTCCGTGGAGTTTTTGCATGAATTGGGCATTAAATGTGCTCTGAACGTCATCTAAGTCACAACAATAGAAGAACACAGTCTGCTGAACATAATACTACACAAACATTAGATGTTGCCATGTGGTTTAATTGCACATAACATGTAAACATTCACAGTGCAGGGAGGAAAAAGTATGTGAACCTTTGGACTTAATAACTGGTTGACCCTCCTTTGGCAGCAATAACCTCAACCAAACGTTTCCTGTAGTTGCAGATCAGACCTGCACAACGATCTGGAGTCATTTTGGACCACTCCTCTTCACAAAACTGTTTCAGTGTAGCAATATTCTTGGGATGTCTGGTGTGAATCGCTCTCTTAAGGTCATGCCACAGCATTTCAATGGGTTTGAGGTCAGGACTCTGGCTGGGCCACTCCAGAAGGCGTATTCTGTGCTGCAGCCCATTGTTTTGTTGAATTACTTGTATGCTTTGGGTCATTGTCCTGTTGCATCACCCATCCTCTGCGGAGCTTCAGTTGGCGGACAGATGGTCGTACGTTTTCCTGCAAAATGTCTTGATAAACTCTGGAATTCATTTTCCCATCAATGACAACAATCCGTCCAGGCCCTGAGGCAGCAAAGCAGCCCCAAACCATGATGCTCCCTCCGCCATGTTTCACAGTGTCAGGTTTTGATGTTGGTGTGCTGTGCCTTTTTTTCTCCACACATAGTGTTGTGTGTTCTTCCCAAACAACTCAATCTTGGTTTCATCTGTCCACAGTATATTTTGCCAGTAGTGCTGTGGAAATCCAGGTGCTCTTTTGCAAACTTCAAACGTGCTGCAATCTTCTTTTTGGACAGCAATGGCTTCCTCCGGGTGTCCTCACCCATGTACTCCATTCTTGTTTAATGTTTTCCTTATCGTAGATGTGTCAACAAAAAATGTTAGCATGTGCCAGAGATTTCTGTAGGTCTTTAGCTGACACTCTGGGATTCTTCTTTACCTCATGCAGCATTCTGCGCTGTGCTCTTGCAGTCATTTTTACAGGACGACCACGCCTAGGGAGAGTAGCAACAGTGCTAAACTTTCTCCATTTGTAGACAGTCTGTCTACGTGGACACATGAACATCAAGGCTTTTGGAGATACTTTTGTAACCCTTTCCAATGCAAGTCAACAATTCTTGATCGTAGGTCCATGGAAACTGAGAGCTCTTTTCTGCGAGGCATGGTTCACATCAGACAGTGCTTCTTGAAACCAGTAAACCCAAAACAGGTGTGTGTTTTTTTAAGAGGCAGACAGCTGTCAGCAACACATCCAATATCATCACATGGTGATTGGAGTCAAGGTTGGCTCACTCCTGGCTCCAATTAGCTCTGGGAGAAGTCATTAAGCTAGGGCCTCACATACCTTTTCCTCCCTGCACTGTGAATGTTTACAGTTATGTGCAATTAAACCATGGCAACATCTGATGTTTGTGTAGTATTATGTTCAGCAGACTGTGTTCTTCTATTGTTGTGACTTAGAATGAACGTTCAGAGCACATTTTATGCCCAATTAATGCAAAACTCCACGTAATCCCAAGGGGTTCACATACTTTTTCTGTGCAACTGTATATACTGAAATATATTTTAAATATATTGAATATGTCCAAAATTGTAGCATTTCAAATATATGTAAATAGATTTGGGGAAGAATATTTTTAAAATATATTTCAAATATATTTTTCTTCCATGTGGGTGTAAAGTTAAGTGATCCTGTTACAGGTGCCTAGTGTAGCCCAGAAGAACCCATAACAGGGGCAATCCTCTTGTGTGACCCCAGACATCCCACTACAAACACCTAGTATTGGTGGTCAGTGGTGCTTCTCTACAGACACCAGAACTATGGTGTCACTGTTGGGGACTAACAGTGCCAGCACAACTGCAGTACCTGG